AAATGGGCTCGAAACCTAAATTTTTATTTAAAGTGGCGTTTTTATTTTTTCTCTCTGTCAGTATTTATTTTAAAGGACTTTAGTTTCAAAGATATGATTGATTTCAAAAATTATTTAAAAAATTCAATGCAATGTAGAATAAAAATATGCGTACCAAATGCAAGAAAAAATTTCTTTAGAATCTAAAATAAAAAATAAACTTTTTGGATTCACAGTGACGAATAGGCAATTTTTTAAGCTGGTAAAGTTAGAAGGAAGAAATTCGAAGGTGTTATCGAGTTTATATAAGTCCTTAACATATAATTTTTTCCAAAACAAATGTTGCGAAATTTCAAGGATATAATTTTAAAAGTACATTTTCAATATTTACCAGTCCTTCTGCACCAAAAACTTGAATCTGTTTAAATTCTACAGGATTTCCTCCTTAATTTTATACCCATACTTTTTCTGTAAGCACATTTCTCTAAATTTTTTAAATCAATTTTGAATAACTGACGTCAGAGTGAAAAACTAAAGACGCAATTTTACTATATTTGGCCCAAGGTTTCGCGAATATATTGATATTTGTGTTAAAAATTTACTATCGCGTGGTGTTATATATATAATGAGCTAGACATTCAGAAAAAAATATTAATTATTAAATAAAAAACGAATTATAGCCAATACGGATCCAGAAAAGAAGTTTCTATTATTGCCGTCAGTGCAAATTACAAATCCCGAATATCCCGGGATTATGTGCCAAGAATCCCGGGATTTGTGGGAACTTAAAAAGGACGGGATGCCGGAATTCCGGGATTAACATTCCTAGTGGCGACGCATAACTGCTACATTTTTCCCAAGTATTGTGGGCCCTATCGTGGGAGGCCTAATTTATTTTTACTTTTTGCTTTGGTTTACATTTTTATGACAAATGCATTAATTTTTGATTGTTTACCAATCAAGTATTGAGCCTCGTCACACACTGGTCTTTTCATACAGTCTGAACCCGTGTTTTCATGGGCGAGAAGGCGAAGAGAGTAGTAGTTTACGCTCAGCAATTTCAGACGCCGAATAGTGTGTACAGCAGCCGGATTACGGCATTCGCTATCGCTTGAACTCCATCGATAAAAAAAATGCTTAATGGATTTTAGCAATTTTTCAGGGGTTTTCGCGATTCTTTCTTCAAAAGGCATCTCTAAAAAATTGTTTTGACAACTCATAAAGCTAAAATTTCGATTCCAGCGTAGTTTGCATCGCTAACAATGTCTATCGCGCTTTCGCTTAAACAAGTTAAAAATTCGCGACGAGAAAAAATTGCTGCTAAGAAAAAAATCAATCAACAAATTATAGCTACTTTTGCTATTGTTGTTCGTTAAAACTACTCAACTATATAAAAAAAAAACTTTGCAATGAATAGGAATAAGTGAAAACAGCAACGGAAAAGTGACAAATGAACAAAAATGTACATATATTTGAACAATACTTTGAGACAGTGTACGAAAATAAACTATATTGTACGTTACTATTTCGTTTCGTTTATTACTTTAACAGTTCGGTACAATACGAAACAAAACGGCTGAGTTCACTTTGGCGATAGTACACTACAGTAGTTTAGTAGTTACAGACGAAACAACAAACGAAATGAATCGTGCAGGGAAAATATATTTATGTATGCACATATATGCAATAAACAAATACAAAACGAATGGCTGCAATGAATAAAAAAAATAAAAATGTTTTTTAATTGAATTGGATATGAAAATTTACAGAAAAAATTATTTTTCACGTAATTGAAACGTTTGCATACATATAAAACGTACCCTATGGTACAATTGTCACAAACGAAAAGCAAACGTTTCTCGTTGGGGAAAATGACAGTGAATCTTACAATTTGTTTCTGACTATTTACAAAACTGTACAAAACCACAAATGATATGATGATCGATGAGCAAATGGGAATTGTTTTGTACAGTTTATTTTCGTACCCTGCTTTGAGAAGCTTTATTGAACTTCTTAAATTAAACAAAAAATTTATTAATACATGGCAGACATGCCTTAAGCGGAGATCCAAACATACTGTCTTCATGAAACACTTCATTTTCACTTAAGATTTCATTATTTTCAAATTCTCCTCCGATATTATTTATAATAAAAATGCTAATACTGCTTCGTGACACATATACATACATATATAATCAAAAGTCTTGCCCACTGATCGCTGGTAACTTCCTGAAAGGGATACGGATTTTCTGGAAATTAAATTGATACAAAAAAATAAACGTAGATATGGAGCTCTATTCACCTTGAGCAAAAATCCCGAAAAAATATCGCGAAATTTTGGGAAATCGCTTTGCTGTCCTGTAATATTGACACGGAGCTCCTCAAAGTCATTCAGCCTTATCACGAGTTTAATTTCCACCCGAAGCTATTCACTTTTGCGGATAAGGCTGATTATTACAAAACTCTTTTGTGAGCCTAAACAGTTTCACAAACCTCTTTTCCAAAATGCTGAAACTATCCGTAGATTATCTCATGGATTTGCGAAGGCTGTTCTTTAATCTTCTTTGCGAATATTAGGCCAAGCTATTTTTATGGACAGGGAGGACAGAATCGCGATTTTTGGGGGTTCGCGAAAAATTCGGTTACAATTTTAGCTTTAACATTTTAGCGATAGCGAAAGTTGGAGTCCGGCTGTTGTACATGGAAAACTTTAAGCGACAGGTATGGGTTGAAATACCCGCTGCAGTAGTGCGTACCACTTGCATATCCTTCCCAAAGCGTTTACGCCTAGCAAAAAATAGAAATCGTGAAAGATTTGAACTCAATGAACAAAAAGTAAATGAAAATTAAGCGTGTTCTTTTCAAGATCAACTTAGGTATTGGTATTTATATGCATTTCATTAAATTTTTGTAACAGTTATCCGTTGCCGCGGGGTAAACTTATTTTGCATGAGTATAAAAATATATACCTTGTTTATACCTACGCAAGAACGGCATTAAAAAAAACCGATTTGACTCAATCCATATTTCTATTAAGTGTTTATACCTGTGTCGTTATAGTGCACTCGCTGAAATCGTATTCAAAAGTAAAAACAATTTTTTTATTTTTATTCGATATTTCATTAATAAGTAATTTGCACGGTGGACCGAAATGCAAGCGAACCAGAAAACCAGCCTTTTTTTTATTTCGCGTCAAATGAATGTTGTGTTTATGCGTGTTTTCTAACTGATGTGGGAAACAAAAAAGCGATTTGAAAATAAATTCGAGTCAATAACCTTTTGAATTTCTGAGCGTATTGAAAGTTGGTTTATGTTTCCGTTTTGAATCACAGTGAACTAGGGATGGGCGAAATAGCGATTTTTCAGTATCAGTGAAAATAGTGATTGCGATTTTTAAATCACAGTGATTTTTTATAGCTATTGCGACCGCTAGTAACCGCTTTTAATAAAACAGAAATTTGTAATACCTCTAATAAATGATGACAAATCAGTGTTGGTACATGTAGGGACAATTCCCTACCCTTAGGGAATTCAGTCGAAAAAATTAGTGTACGGTAGAGGGAAAAGTTGCATTTATGCGCTCAAAAATTGCCATATTTCTCTTAGTTTTTTATTAATATTTGCAGCCATCTTTACTCGTTGATACAATTTTTGAAATAAAAGCCAGGGCTGCAAACCACACCAAAAATCGGTGCGGTGCGGTGCGGTTCGGTTCAGTGGTTCGAACCACTTAGACTATAGGCACCTAATTGGCAATTAAGAAGCTTTTCAATAATTTAAGCCTTCATTGTTATCCAAGTTATAGAAAAATTCAAATTATTAATTGCCAATTCTTATTCTCTTATTCTTATTCTTAGATTCTCTATGCAACCCTGCTAGGTATGTTTAATTCCATCAGGGATGGAAAATTGAATTATAAAATTGTACTTAATTTATGGAAAACTTTACCTAAAAGTAGATAGATGTACCTAAAAAGTAAATATGTATTTCTATATAAAGAAAATAGGAGGATAACAATTCCCATCGATGCCATATCAACTTCTGTGCTCACATTAAACAAATTTTGGCTATGAAAAGAATCTCTTCGAGCAGCGTGAGAGAGAACTATATTGTAGAAAAAGAGAATCACTTTCCTCCCAGTTCTTCGATTCGACGTTTTAAAAAGAAATATTTTCCGTTTATCTGGCGAAATAAACTACACTTGCGTTACTTTGACCACCTTTCTGTATCATTTGTATGCCCCTTCATAAAGAAGGGAAGCTATTAGACGCCCGCACCAGAAAATGAATTGAAATGCCAATAAAAATAAGAACTGATTTCCTGAGAAGTTATTTGGATAAGTTCCAAATATACCTAAAATTTTGAGTTTGTACCGAATGTACTTTCAAACTAAATAAAGGTACGATTGTACCAACTTTTCCGTCACTGTAGGCCCAGCAAACAGTTAGGTTTGATACACATTTGAGAATGATTTGAAATCAAAGCCTTTCTCAAATGCCAAACGTTTGAAAATGATTTGATATTGATTTGAAAATTACAGCTTTCCCAATAAAAAGGGGAGTTTGATCTCCATTTGAGAATATCGTTAGCTCTCAAATCAATGTCAAAGGTTATTTATCAATTGTACTTCAAATGTGGAAATAAAATTTATTATAGGAAATGTATGTATATTTAGTTTTTTTTTTCTTCGCGTTGTACATATCTATGTACATAACAAAATAAACAATTAAGATAAAGTAATTTATAATAAATTCGTCTTGAAGGGCTGCAGCTTCATCAATCCGCGCAAACATCAAATCCACTATTTGTGGGCTTTCTCTTTGAAAATTTTTTTCTATTTTCCGAGTTTTAGAAAATTTTTATTTAACTGGCATTGTTATTCTTTATATGGACGAAATTACAACTCACGGAGTTGCCATCAAACAAAAATTTTGCAGTTTTACTATACGGGTTGTGTATTACAAAACTAGAAAAATGCTTTAGTGGATTTTCATTTTGAACCGAATCGAAGGATTTTTTGGAGTGGGGTTTTCGGTTCGATTTAGGCATTTCAAAAACGGTTCGGTTCGTGGTTCGGCTCGAAGCTCGAATAAAGTGGCGCTTCGGCGGTTTACACGGCCAAAGCTAATTTCTTTGCTCATCTCAGAAATCCAAAATTAATTTCGGGTCGTATTTCACTCATTTACGAATTCCGCGGGATCGGATTTGGATTTCATAAAAACCAACTTGAGTATTGCTGAGATGCATACACAGCGTAACAAGTGTAAAAATTATATATACAAAATGCAATCAGTCTAAGTAAATTAGTTGAAACCTGTATTGAAATTAGAATGACAAGAAAACTTAAATATTTACAGTACAAATTTCATTACTTGTTTCTTTCAAGTCTTCGCAGCATTTAGTTTTTATTTTCCAACATTCAAATACGCTTATTTAGCTATCAATTACCTTGTTTATACGACACTAAATACGGTTTCATATAAATTCGTGTCAGTGTAACACACTTAATTTGCACGCGTTTATACGATTTAAGTTAACACGAATTAATGCACTTTATAAACAAGGTGAATGAGAAAATAAATATTCATTCAACATGCCTGCAAAAATTAATGTAGTAAATTTTTTTTCAAAATTTCTTATTTTCATTGCTTTCCTGTATTTCCATTGGTTAATGTGTTTTCGTTTATTCATGTAAACTACATGTGTGATCATATTTTATGTTTAAAATGTGTATGTGTATTATTCTCTGGCAGTACTTTTTACAGTAATCTTTTCTTTTCTATTTTAATATTATTATTATTTTTTAATATGGGCAATTATTTTAAAACTAAATCAACATAAAAAATGTGTACAATCACATAAAAGCAATGGACCGTGTTAAATAAAGCATTTCATAACTAAACACGCCCAAACTAAACTCCTAACTCATGGATTTGAGATTATTAATTTTCAAATTATCCAACTAAACACCTTCGACAAATTTTCACTTTATCCAGCTAATGCGTTGCACAAGCACAATCGGTTGCATTTCGGCTATTTGCCACTTCGAGTCCACAGCTTCCTCCATACCTTGAGCGCTTGCAATTTCGCATCCTTTAATTTCTTCTATCTCTTCATCCGTTACCTCAGCTTGTGAAATTTCTCCAGCCAATCTCATGCGGTTCAACTGTTCCTCGGACCGTGGCCGCAATGTACGAAGTCGTTCATTTTCATTCGTCTTCCAATGCGCTGGAACCAGAGAACGTTTATTAATGAGAAGGCTCAGTTCCAGAAACAACTTCTGGCCGTCATAAATTTTGAGTTGTGGGAGACGGAATATACCACACCGGACCAGAAACCACCACTCGTCGACGGAATACTCGTTGCCGCCACGCCAAAGATTTTCAATTCTACAACTCTAAGACGGAATTTACCATAGTGAAAAGCAATATGAAAAATAATAACGAAAACGGAAAGAGAAAGAGAAATCTAACAAGCACTAGGCAGAGGCGTGCTAGTGCCAGATCAAAACAAGCACTAAAATAAAAATGGAAGTCAGAGCGACAAGTGTCGAGAATGAAGCGGTGAACGGGGAAAGGAGTGGGTTTTTGTACATTTGCTTGCTTGCCGAAAATATGATATTTGCGTGAAATGGATTTGGTGATCGCAATGTAAGATCGACGTTTTTATAAAAAGTTACATACCTACTATTTTATTATAATTTAATTAAACATATGTATGTACATCAACAAAACATCCGAAAAAGGACAAAAAAGTGAATGAAATGCGGATTTTCGTCCGTTTACTGATTCCACTTTCGGATACTTTGACGATCCGTTTTCCCACTAAAACGTGCGGCAAAAACGTATGTACAGAAAAGTACCGAAAATGGTAGCGAAAGGGATACGTTTTCAGGTTTTTTTCTGAAATTTATCTGATTGAATTTTTCGTTCAATACGCTTTCCTTCTGCACTTCACAGATATTTTTTCATGGTTCAAAAGAAATAAAATAAAATTAGGAAGTGACTGACGGAATTCGAACCCGGCACCTTCTGGAAGCTAACAAATAGCGGTACACTTCTCTGCACACTCTGCCACTGCCGACTACGCATGTATGCTTTCAAATGTTTAGCTTGAGCAAATAAAATACAATTCCTGCTTTCAAATGGAATCATCTTTTTTAACCGTTTTCCGGATACGAAAATTGATGATGACTGTAGGAGTTTTTTGTATTCGTTTTAGGATACGGAAAATTCAACTAAACTGCACTGTCGGCAAAAGTTACGTTTCTTTGTTAGCTGGGTATCTATTATACCAATTCATGAAATTGCATCTATGAAAATATGCTACACCCTATCTGCGCAATCGACTCATTTTTGCACGTCTATTTGCCGACGGCATTTCGCATGCAAAATTTACAAAACAAATTTATGTAGATATAAATATGAATGAGCTTGTTCACAAAGAAATTAAAAGGGGGATCAAATACCTTACCAATGATACCTCACAAGTCTAAATTTGTAAGGTTTTGGCTGAGTTATGGTCTGATTATGCATACTTCGCATAACTTCGCACAACTTCGCATAGACTTCAAACTGTAATTTCGTATGTACTTTGTATGTTTTTTGTATGTATTCCATTACCCAGAAATTAGCAGAACGTTGAAAAACTTAGACCTTTATTCGAGTTTTTCTTAAACCAGTCTTTGAAAAAAGTGCAAAAACAGCATCAAAAATTTCATTATTATGATTCCGTAGCAATTTTTTTTACATTTTTTATGCAAACTTTTTAAGCTTAAACTGTTCAGTCATCTAAGGTAATTTTTTCAAAAACTCAATTTTTGGAGGTATTTTCAAATCGATCCAGCTCATGCAAATCTTAATATTTTTGCGATATATTTTGTTGGAAATCTTAAAATATAATAGATTACATAATTCCAGTTGAAAAACAGTACCGTTTTTTTTTTTGTTGTATGGGGAGTGATGCACTCTACTGTACATAAGGTGATTATGATTACTCGGCCGTCTATCATAGTAGCACAATGCCACTAAGTGCATTTTAAAATTTTCAGGCAATAGTCTCATGCGATTATCGATTATATTTTTTGTTGTTTGTGTGAAATATTTTACTTTTATCAGTATTTTTCTTTTAATTAAAATATGTTGAAATAAAAGGGAAAAAAATATTTTGCCACTCAAAATATTGCCTTAGAAAATCTTACCGTCATTTAAAGTACAAAACCGCGTATCAAGAAAATGTGAAACCGCGTATCAAGAAAATGCAAACATTACATTTGCATAAATTATTTTCTAGAGAGTAAAAACACTCATATTTTAAAATGGTTCTCTTTTTTGTTTGGCAGCAAATGTCAGTTAAACGGTTTTGCAGAATGACGATACGCGCTTCTGTACCTCGACGTTATAAATTTATCTGAAATAGCTTCATTCTACACACTTGTCGTTCTGACTGCCATTTTTCGTTTTCGTTCTTATTTTTCATTTTGCTTTTCGCTATGGTAAATTCCGTCTTAGAATGGTAGAATTGAAAATCTTTGGCGTGGCGGCAACGAGTATTCCGTCGACGAGTGGTGGTTTCTCGTCCGGTGTGGTATATTCCGTCTCCCACAACTCAAAATTTTTGACGGCCAAAAGTTCATTCTGGAATTGCGCCTTCTCATTAATAAACGTTCTCTGCTGAAACCTTTAATTTGTTCTGTTAATTACGTTTGCGACTGGACACGCGGTCGGCCTTCTTTGTACGCGCTGGCTTTTTTGATTTGACTGGCGCAGGTGGTGGTCTTGCTGGCTGCACTGCTTTCAAATTCTGTAGTTTTTGGAGTTCCTTAGCGACAACAGGCTTATTTACAGGGTTGTTTACGGTGCGCGCAGTCTTTGGTTTTGACAAATTCACCGCAGTTTTTCTCGCTTTGGTTTTCTCCGCTGATTCAATTAGCTTTGGCTTCTTCGAACACTTATTTAACGAGCCCGGCGGCCGGCCGCGACGACTTGTTGTAGTCGCCTCAGTGCCAGAGATCTTTGAGGCTTTTAATGTCACCTTCTTTTCCGCACCCTCATTCTCCATGCACATATCTACAGCGGGCGGCACGAACACCTTTATTTGCGCCATACTATCCTTCGAATAGGTGTGTGCAATATTACCCAAATTTACGGGCGGCACAACAGCGCTCGCCGGTAGTACAACACAAGGTTCTACATCTGATAGATGAACTTTAGATGTCTGCAATCGACTGCAACCAAATACAAAAGTGCCATTCGATTCACTAGCGCTGCCAACGCCTCTTCCTCCTCGGCTACGTGCAGATATTGGCAGTTTCGAAATGTTGCGCTTTTGTGTGTGATTGCGTCGTCGAGTTTGTGCTGGTTTAGTCACCGGCTCAGTGGTCGTAGATGGCGAACTGCCACCACTACCTCCACCAACACCGCCAACACCGCCAACACCACCAACACCGCCAACACCGCCACCACCGCTATTCAAACCGACACTTGTACCGCTCGTAGCAATGCTGCTCGTGAGGGTGTTCACATTGGGTGCGGATATAGTGTTCGACGTAAATTGTACGTGCAAAGTCGATTCAGATGGAAAAGTCTTTCGTCGTCGTTGCGGGACGTTATTGGCCGGATCGTCATTTCTGTTTTCATGCAATATGGACTCATCAGAAAATTTGCGCGTGCGCCGGCGCATATGGTATGAATTTTCTGGTAAGTGATGCGTTGTATCGATTTGGCTATTTTGTACTACCATAGCGGTTTCTTCGACGATAGTGGCAGTTGACACATCCGCTGATTTGTTGAGAGTATTGGAATTAGAACGCTTTTCCGGTGTAAAAACGAGCTCTTGTGTTGAAGAAACTTCATGATCGGATGATATTAATATTGCTGTATGAGTATTAGGAATGAAAAGATTTTATGATAAACTTATAATAAACTATAGAAGCAAAGAATAGTCTGAATTAAATGGAAAGTATAGAAACTAGAGCTGGGATACTATCGATAATATCGATTGTTGAAAACTGTCGCCTGTCGGTGTTTGCGAACGAAAAATGACACTGAAGATGGCACAATGCCGAAACCGGTTTGTCCCCAAACCAAACTTGACAAGAGTTGACGGAAAATCGTTCCACAATACATCATACTCCTACCCTGTCGGAAACACAAACAACCAAAAAGAAGTTATTCATATCTAATTCAGATGTTCTGATAAATTAATGAGTTTATTTTATTATTATAAAAAGTTCCTTTTGATTCATTCAAATAAAAAAATAAAAAATATGTGTAATTTACAAAGTAATTAATAATTTATTAACCAATTTTCAGAGAATTAGGGTTTCAATTGAACACTATTACATAATGTGGTTCACGACGATAGTAATATCGATACCATCGATGTTTTCAGCTATCGCTTCGAAAACTATCGAGTGACGGTACTATCGATAGTATCCCAGCTCAGCTAATAGACACCAAATAATAAACATTATCCGATACTTGAGAAAATCTGTATTTTGCTAGACTATGATACAAAATATCTTCAGCAAATAAATCTGAAATAATTTCGTCGATTTGGGGAATGCATTGAATGAGAGTTAAGGCATTACACGTACTTTTAACTCGTTCGTATTTAGCTTTTACTTGAATATGCATTAGGGTGATCCAAAAACAAATAAAGAATATATGGAAAACTTTGGGCGCTTTGGGCGACCTCTAAATATTTTTTGATTTCAATAAAAAAATATGGGTATATTTTTTTCGGTATTGAATAATCCTAGGGGATTGTTGAGAGCATAAAAATTCCGACTTCACTTTTTCACATGCATTTTTGGACCACCCTAATATACATACATAAAACATATATGTTTGGGGTAAGTTTTATGTTGTAAATGTTATATTTATTATTTTAAAGAGAACATTTCGCTCTCAACTCCAAGTTGGCTTTGAAAACCCTCTGTTAAAGTTAAAAAAAATGCTCCTGTACTACGAATGGAAAATAAGCAAATTGTTCATCGACACCTGAGTGGAAGATCGACCTATCTCGGCAGCCAGTTCGAAAACGCCCTATCTCAGAAAACTTTTCAAGAACGCCCTATTTTAGAATTTGGTTGAAGAACGCCCTATATCAGTATTCGGTTCTCAGCTGAAAATACATTGAAAATGTGCTAAGATAAGGCGTTTTTGAATCGGTAACTACGATAGGGCGAATTTTGAGATAGGGCGCTCTTCAATCAATTTCTGAGATGGGGCGTTCTTGAAAACAATTTGGAAAAGGAGTTTTTCGAGATATCACCGACTCCGGCGCCACCTACCGTATTGTTTTATTTTATTTTATTTTTTTGCATTTTAGGCTACATTTTCAGTAAAGGTGTAATTCGCCGGTTGCGAAAAAAGTTATTGATTTGAAAATGAGTGAAATATCTAAAGAAATACGATTTTTTACTATAAAAAAGTTGAAAACGCAAAACAAGCCGAAAAGTACTGTGAGTGAACGTCGGACCCAGGAGTGGTTTGCTCGATTGCGTTGTGAAAATTTCGAAGTCAAAGATGCATCTCACTTTGGTCGGCCAGTCACTGGAAACGTCGATGAAATAATGCAAATGGTTGAAGCAAGACCGGCATAGAAGGTAAGGCATTAAGCATGAACCATATGATAATTTGGAATCATTTAAAAAAAACTCGGGCTACTCAAAGGAACACGATGTCTGGGTGCATCATGAATTAACGCAAAGAAATTTGATTGACCAAAGGTGAAACGCTGCTGAAACGGAACGAAATTGAACCATTTTTGAAGCGACTCATTACGAGCGATGAAAAATTGATTGAATACGAGAATAAGCAAAGATCGATGACCCTCCACAAACGACTTCAAAGCCTGGATTGACGGCAAACAAGGTTATGTTGAGAGCATGGTAGGATTGCAAGACTGCAATTGTCCACAATGAACTGCTACAACGTGGTGAAATGATCAATTCGACCGTTTGAAAGAAGAAATCAAGAACGAGCTACCAGACTTGGCCAACAGAAAAGTATGATGAGAACACCAGGCCGCACACATCTTGAATGACTCGAAACAAATGAACGGAATTTGGTTAGGAAGTTTGAATGCGTCCACCGTATAGCAAGGACTTTGCACTGTCTGATTTCTATTTGTTTCGGTCTCTGCAACACTCTCATGATGGTAAAAAACTAGCCGACCCAAGAGCCGCTGAAAATCACTTGGTCAAGATTTTCGCCGACAAATCATAGCAGTTCTACACCGATGGAATTATAAAGCTATCTTAAAAATGGAAAAAGGTCACAGACAATAATGGCCAATATGTGCTTGATTCAGATTTATTTTATTTTTATCAAAAGTGTACCCAAAATTCCCCGTAGCCTTTTTATATGTCTTAGGTTAGGTAAACGGGCGACTAAGCTGTCCATTGTGATGATCTTAGAGGGGAGAGGGAAAACGATGCAGGGGGGCCGGAAATAGAGTGGGTGGGTAGGGGAAAGAGGAGGAAAACTAAGGGAGAATGACGACACCTATAGCTTTTGTAGGAGAAACGCTCCGTGCTCGCAACGAATCAATCGACCGGTGTCTATTCCCGAGATCTCATCGGGAGTGTGAAAAAAGTTCGACCCAAGGTGCTTAAACCTTAGGCTCACAAAGGCAGCGTACCAGAGCCGCAGGTGTTAAGATGATTCCACTTCATCGTCCTACATACAGCTGGTGCAGTAAGGGCTATTAATGACACTCCCACCAATAGTGAGAGAAGCAGCTTGCTTAGTCTCACCTAATATATACCTAGTGACTTAATTAGCCTCATTGCGTGAGTCGTGTCGATTGCAAGTCGTTTTCCGAGAATCGAAGCGTGTCGAAAATTTCATGTCATTGCCTAAAATTTCTACTCGACTAGTGTTTTAAAACGGAAAAACTTGGCAGCACTGCATGGCTTTCGACGATTTTTGTCGTTTACTCATTTCAGCACGATACTAGATAATGCCAATGTTGTCGAGTCGTACAATTTAGACTAATTTACGACTTACGCAATGCGGCTGAATATATACAGAAAAAAAGCTATAACCAAATACGGCAAATTCAGACGCGAGCAGATTTTACTCTTTGGTCTTCATCAATAAATTAAAGAAATTATAAAACTGTACAACTTACCATTCGCCGATGGTGGTGAATTCATAGCATCTTGAAATTGCTGTCCAAGCTGTAATGGTGGCGTTGAACTTTGGCGAGATGAGCGATCACTAAACTTTCCCACATCCTTTTCAGCCAGCACGGGTGCAGCCACCGATGGTAAATCTTTTACTGAGACTTGCTCGGGTTCTTTTACTGGAACACTTGCAATCGCAAGCGAATCTGGCTGCGGCAACTCAGCGGCCATTCTTTCCTTAGAATTCTGTGTCGATGGCGCCAGTGGCAATTCAATTTTCGCCGGTTCTACAATCAAAGCCGTTGTTGGCGCTGCTGTATGACGTTGTTCTCCGTGTCTGGTGACACATCCGCATTGGGAATAGGTAAAGGCGTCGGCGCCGATATTGCTACAGCAGGTGGTGTAGGTACATCACGACTTTCACCGTTGAGCAAGTATGTTGGCAACGTGGGCGTAGCTTCGAAACTCATCAGCGTCATAGTAGCGCCCTTAATCACATGCACAGTTGTGGGTTCAACAATGCTTTCCAAATCAGACATTTTATGTACATGTTTTGATAGCTGCGACAACAGACAATCACTACTGGATTCCTCATCATCCGACACAGAGGACGCGGTGCGTACGAATTCGTCAGATTTTTTAACGGCTAATGGTTTTGTATTTTGACGTGCGTCGGCGGTGCCAGCGCCAGCGCCATCGTCATGGCCATCAATGGGCGTTATGCAACGAGAATTCGATTCGTTTTGCAAACCAATTACAGTTGGTGGATCCGGCACAATCTGGATGTTAGACGAAAACGAATCGCACGATGGCCGCCTCTTTGGCAATATTATGCCTGTCGCCAGTAGAGAGTCACCATTTTCGTTTTGCAGCTCGTGTGAGATTAAGCTCAGTGCTGTTGATGGTTTTTTCGTTGTATTTGCCAACATGGTTAGACTCGCAGCAGCTGCTACCATTTCATTCGATATTTGCTCTTGTACCTTTGGAGCGAGATTCTCAGTCAACGGTGAGCTTGGCTTGGCGCTTGGGAAGGCAGCGGAAAGAGGTGTCGGACAGCCGTCTTCAACTTGCTCAGCACTGGACAAATCTATGGCAGGTGCCTTGGCATTAACTGCCTTAGTCGCACTATCACATGATTCACTTGATTTCGGTACTAAAGATCTAGTTGCTGCTGTGGCTAGTATCAAATCGCTCAATAGACTATCCTTTATATGTCTGCCCGGTGTCACGTCCACAACTTGCGTCACTATGGCACCGTGTGTATGCTTCCCTTTAAGGTGCTTTTCGACAATATTGCTACCATCCATGTCCATTGGAACATTTGGACTGTTTTCTTCGCGACTACTTAGCAATGCTTCGTCACTAGGTGCGCATTCGTCGTTCTTCGATGACTGCTGCTCTGTTACTTCTTGTNCTAGTTGCTGCTGTGGCTAGTATCAAATCGCTCAATAGACTATCCTTTATGTGTCTGCCCGGTGTCACGTCCACAACTTGCGTCACTATGGCACCGTGTGTATGCTTCCCTTTCAGGTGCTTTTCGACAATATTGCTACCATCAATGTCCACTGGAACACTTGGACTGTTTTCTTCGCGACTACTTAGCAATGCTTCGTCACTAGGCGCGCATTCGTCGTTCTTCGATGACTGCTGCTCTGTTACTTCTTGGTGCGCGCTGTTTTCTGCAGTGTCTACCAGGCCAACCGGAGTTTTGCAAAGACTTTCTGTGACGTTTTTGTTTTCACTCGCCGATTCTAGACTGAATGTTTTCTTTTCGCTTTGGCTGTTATTGCTGCTGCACAGCCCTCCATCATCTACATCTAACTTGGCACTGTGAGCTACATTGGCAGGGATTACCTTGCACTCTTTAATTGCGATATCCTGTTGCGTTTTGTTTTCCTTTTGTTTACGCGACGGCTTTTCTGATAATTTCATCTTTTTACTGTGGTTGACTTGTTGTTGCTTTCGTTGCGTCTTCCGTCGNTGTTTTCACTCGCCGATTCTAGACTGAATGTTTTCTTTTCGCTTTGGCTGCTATTGCTGCTGCACAGCCCTCCATCATCTACATCTAACTTGGCACTGTCAGCTACATTGGCAGGGATTACCTTGCACTCTTTAATTGCGATATCCTGTTGCGTTTTGTTTTCCTTTTGTTTACGCGACGGCTTTTCTGATAATTTCATCTTTTTACTGTGGTTGACTTGTTGTTGCTTTCGTTGCGTCTTCCGTCGTATCGCTTTCTTAGCACGCCCTTCGACGGTGGGCGATGGCGGTTTGGGGATTTCTTCCTTAGATGTATTTGCAACGGTGATGTATTTCGTGACGGTGGCAGTATATTTTTCGTCCATCTCCCATTGCGTCTTGAGTCGCTCTTTTAACTTTTGCGAACATTCTAATTTGTCATGCTCTTCGACCGTGGGCGATGGCGGTTTGGGGGTTACTCCCTTAGATGTATTTGTAAGTACATTTTCAACAATATTTGTGTAGCCTGCACCAAGTTTTTCGTCCATCTCTAGCCATTGCGTCTTGATCCGCTCTTTTAACTTTTGTGCACGTTCTATTTTCTCATGTTCAAGTTCTAATGTCGGAGCCACTGACTCTGCAGTGCTTCTTTTGGCATCCAGTTGCTGTTCTTTCGTTCCGTTTTCATTTTGGTAGACAGGTATAGTTGATGCAGGCCTCAAATTTGATGTTTTATCAGATGAACTTGCCGAGGAAGAGTTCATATTTAAATGCTGCAAGCGTTTCAAGCGTACCTTAACTGTTTTTGTTAGCGTGCGTGGCGATGAATTCAGCAACCACGAAGGCGCGTTCGATGGGAAGTCTGAATTGCTAGAAGGATCTTGCATGCTACGCCGCACCTCCACACCACTGCGATTTCTAAATATTGATGGCGATAATGAAGGTGCGCGCAATAACTCCATTCGGGAAGTGGGTGAGGAAAATGTATGTGAGGAATTTAGCAGCAAATCCTTACGAGCATATCCTTTGCGAGTTGGTGCTGCATTTCCGTCTGCTTTAGCTGTCGGTGTTTTTGATATTGAGCGCGTGGGAGTCATGGATTTGGCATGTCGTGTATGCGATGTTGGTATCGTTGCTGCTGTTACTTGCGGTATTTTTGGTTTTTCAGATAAACTTGTTTTGCTCGCTGCCTCTACAACATTTTTCCATTTTGATGTAGCGCCATGTTTTTGATATTTCAGAACATAAGAAGCGACCAAGTCACCCGTTTTCAACGATTTACTCGACATTTCAGTAGTCTGCATCTGAGTGCTGCTAGCACCAGATGTTCCCACGGCAGTATCTTCTGGCATATATGTCCCAGTTGCTGCCATATTGCCTTGCTTTCCCACTGCATTCATATTATTTGCATTTTTCGCCACATCCACTTTTGGATCAGCACCAGCTGTTAGTTTCAAGGCGTGTACTTTCGTCGCTTGCCTCACAGCGGTACCTTTCTTATTTTCAGCCGTCTCTAACACACTTTGCCCATTCGATCCCGCCATGCGATTGGGCGCTGTAGAACGACTTCGCGCTGCTGCTTTTGCTTTAAGTTTAATTTTTCGTTCTTTCACAAGCATTCGTTTGCGATTCAAAATACTCGGCGACTGTAGTTGCCGCTGCTGGGCTTCTTGTTCCTGCGCCAGCAATGACTTCTCTTGTGCTTCACCTCGCTGGCGTTTGATTTCTACAATTTCCGCCATCAATCGCTTGTCCTCCTCACGCTTTTGTTTTAAAATATTCTGAAATTCTTGACGCTTAAAAGCGCGTTGTCGCTGCATTTCTCTCTGCTTCTCTAACAAATCGTTAATGAAGGCAATCTCTTGCTTCTTGTACTTAAGAACCTCCTCATTTTCCTGCATCACCACAGCGCATTTCTTATGCAGTTTGGGATCAGTTGCTACTTCGGCGGTAGTGATAATAGGATTATTTGTACGCACACTGATTGGTGAAGTTGAGGGATTACGCTGTGCTGAAAGTGGACTGGAGAAGGTTTGGGGAGAGATAGTGACGCGTTTACTCGGGCCCGGCGCTGTATTCGTTTCGCGAGAATTGTGTGTGGACTTTATTTTGCTGCCGGCGAGGGTAGTTTTGCTGCCGCTGTTTTTCGCCATAGCGGTGCTATTGGCTAGTGAAGGTTTTTTGATTTTATAACCGCTAAACAACGTTGCAATCGCGCTGATACGCTCTGGATATGTCGAAATGAAATGTGGAAAAATACATACAAAAATTATAGGAATTTTCTTAAACATAGTTATGGACATATTAAGGATCATACTGATAATTTGGTAAATCAAAGAAATGTGTTTAAAATTATTAGATGATAGTTTGCTAATTTTTCTTTCTCAAAATATATATGCACAGTTATTAGGCGGACGTGATATAAAAGATTTACATGCATATGCATATTTCCAAATATTCTATACAAGGATTTCATCAACCTAAGGGTCGATTGAATTTTTCACAAAAAAACTAGGTATAAAACGCACGGACGATTATGGTTTTATGCTTATATAATTGCATTACGAACATCTTGTTATTTTTCGGATTTTTTACGATGTAAAATCAAAAGAAATATATCACAAAATTCTTAGATATACATCATTTATCATACATAAAACTTGACTTAGTTCGAACGGCTCGTAGAATAACTTCCTAATTCGAACCTAGTAGAAGGTTGTAATCGGCACATCCGTATGAGGCTGCACGGGTTTCCCACATTGCATCGTGGTGTTATCAAAGGTGTATTTAAAATTAACTAACAGGTAATATATGCCGACTTACGCGACGGAAAACATCCAAGCTGCTGGAGCTGACGGCTCGCCAGCCGAGCTATTCAAAAACGTTGGCGAGTAGTTGATAAGTTGCATGCATCAACCTTTATGAATGCATGCCCGACGACGGGAATTTGAGTTCACTTAGCCCACAAGAAAGGCGATTTAGCCATACGCGCCAACTACCGCGGTATCAGCCTTTTCAGCATAGGTTACAAAGTCTTATCGGGTGTATTGTGTGAAAGACTAAAGCCCACCGTCAATGAACTGATTGAGCTTTATCAGTGTGTCTTTAGACTTGGCAAGTTCACCATAGACCAGGTACTCACCACACGCCAAATATTGGAAAAGACTCGCGAATATAGGATAGACACAGGGTGGTCCAAAATAAGTAAAGTCTGAATTTTAATGCTCTCAATACCAAGGATTAATCTATATCGAAACAATAGACTCTTATTTTTTATTTCGAAATCAAAAAATATTTAGAGGTCGCTCAAAGCGTTCAAAGTTTTCCAAGTATGTTATATGCAAAAAACAACTTTTCTTAGAAATGGTATAGAATTCTTGAAAATCAATATTTTTAGATCGGAGAGTTCCAAAAACAATGCTTAATTGTTTATTTAACTATTTTTTAATACAAAAGATTTTTTATTTGTCACCCTATGGCATTTTCTGGGGGTTTCGGTGGACCTATAAAATATAGTTACTATGAAGAAATTGTTAATTGGGAGTTTCTTGAAGAAAAGAGAGAGAGAGCGATTTGAGCGACCTCTAAATAAAAAATAGGGGTATATTTTTTTCGGTATAGAACAATCCAACTTTGCTTTTTCCACATGCATTTTGGGACCACCCTAATCGACACACGCCAACTAACTTGCCGCAATGTGTGAATTTGGTATCATCGCGAAACTAATACGGCTGTGTAATATGACGTTAAGCAATACGATCAGCTGCGTCAGAATTGGGAAGCACTTCTCTGAGCTGTTTGATACAAAACGAGGTTTCAGATAGGGCGGCTCACTTTCGTCCGATTTTTTTAACCTGATGTGGGAGAAAATAATAAGAGCCGCAGGACTAAACCGTAGATAGAGAAACAAAGGGCGTGGGTCTCTTGGTGAAGGAGAACAAAACGAAATATCTCCTGTCATCAGACAAACAAAAACTTTGGTTATTTAGAAATCAGCATTAACACCAATAATAATGTCAGCCTTGAAATTTAACGTAGAATTACTCTTGCCACAAATGCTACTTTGGACATAGTCTCGTCGTACAAAAATAACACTCAATAATGACCGTGCTGGTGTGTGGCGCAGAAGCATGGACAACGAAAAAATCTCATGAGGCGGCTCTTGGGATTTTCGAAAGAAAGATTCAGCGAAAGATTTGTGGCCCTTTGCGCTTTGGCGATGCCGAATAATATTTAAATATTAAAATACAGCGGCTTCGATGGCTTGGACAGAAATGCTCCAGATGTGAAGAATAGGAAGGCCTCCTCTGCGATGAAAACACCAGGTGGAGAAGGACTTGGCTTCATTTGACATTGGCGTCAGTTGGCACAGAAGAGAAACTATTGGCCTGCTAGTTGCCACTCGACCACAGAGAATATATCGCATCCCATCTTCAAACGACTCACAACTCAAAATTTGGCATTTTTGAAATTATGCGCTAAAAATGTACACAGAGCTTTTATTTACCTTTCAGCAAAAGCTGGAGCAAATTTTTGTTATAATTTGTTTAAAAAAAAAAAGTATTATTTTGTGTTGTGACGCTTGCATCATATTTTTCCATCGACATAGTCTCTAATGGATGTTTGAAATTGACGTTTAGTAGTGTTGCGTCATATTTTTTCAAGCTTCAATTTTGTTTGCGTGACCGTGTTTTCACGTAAGAAATTTGAGCACACGAAATTCACTGTTTTCTAATAAAGCAAAGATTCTCGTAGGCGTCTATGAATTTATTTAAAAGAGGAAATTTTTTTGGTTTGCACTTCCACAAATTTTTGTTTTCGTACTCCTCCTATCACCATATATTAGGTGCAATCCCGTATTCCTCGGACTAAAACTAGTAAAACTGACGAAACAAAAAAATTCGCTCACAGCGAGAGAGTAATACGGAAAAGTACGGGATCGCTTTAAAGTAAATAAAAATTATAGTTTAAAAACTAAAACCTCCCTATTATAATTCTTCTGACAGAGAGAGGACCTTATTTACTTTCTTATTTGTCCTCTCAATTGCCAGAGAACGGAGTACGGGATTGATTCAAGTAAAATCTGACTATTTCTGTCTGGTTCGGACACGTACGGGATGGCAACTTTTAATTCGCCTTACTCTTGTAGGAATTTTTTTGAGAAACAATTGACTTACTGTTACTTATATTAATAGTAAGAGATATGAAAATTTTTAAAATTTGTATTCTATTTACTTTCCCGAGCCGTGCGTTTTATACCAGCTCAACCTAACCTTATAGTATATGCATATGTTATAATCAGCTCTATTGCCCATTTTCAAAACACAAATGCTCAAAAAAGTTTTTCTAACAGTTTGCAATATTCAATACAATTTCGTAAAATGCGAAATAAATAAACCGTTTAGTATTAGTTAGGGAACAAGTGTTACATATATACATTTTACGTGCTATTTGCAGAACTTTGGTTAGGCTAAGGGTTTGCATTGCATGTTACGAAATTGAATCAATAAGTACTGCTTTCTGCGCATTTTTTTTATACAGTTTTTATATGTATATGTGTATGTATGAGCATATGTGGTATACATATGTTTATTGCACTAGCCTAAACATATGATTGATTAAATATTGAATTTATCACAGTTTGTTTAGAGGTGGGTAACGCACACGCCACATTTCTACTCAGTTCCAACTTCATAGTAATTCAAATAAACGCTTAACCAATTAAATCATTACATATATTTTGTAATTAAAGAAAACTAAATTCATAAATAAAATGATTGAAAGAAGAGTTAGCGCAGTAGCTACATAGATATTTCATAAACCAATATTTACTAGTAAAATGCTTTATTGTCCAACACATAGTGAGTAAGTAGTGCTCGTTCAAAATCCTGTATACCACACCCTCACAGTTTGGTAGGTGTACAAGAAAATATGTACTTAATTTCTTTATACTTCAAACGCCATATTTTGCAAGGGAATTAATGGAAGCAATTCGCACATGCCACACTACTAATTGTACATATACATTTTGGTTTGATTTGTGATTGATTAGAGGTTTAAAAGAATACACCATATTTAATCATAAGTAGAAATACAATAGATATGTAATAATGTACATTAATTAGCATCTAAGCGCATATTTACCAGGTATACGACGAATAGCTGTATGCAATGCGAAATCGCGAACTGCTCAAAGTAAAATGTATT